AATAAAAAAATTCATTTTGATCAACTTTTTCATTGTCAAAGTTTCCAGATGTAATGTCATTAGATGAATTGCAAATTACTTTTTCTTTGTTTTTTGTACCAAAAATTCAGCTAATGACATCATATCTGGGGACTTCGACAGTGAAAAAGTTGATCAAGACGAGGTTTTTTACTATAAACATACATAACATTTCTTCTCAGAATGACCCAAATATTACACATACCAAAAATTATATTTGGGGTTAGTCGCACTTTACTCAATTATGAAAATACAAAACTTTGATGCAGTTAAGCACCTATCAATGGGTCGTCGCAAAAAAATATCCACATACTTCAAAGAAGTAAATTTGAGTGTAAATATCCAGTTCCCCTTATTACATTTACTAGAAAAAATACCACAAAGTATCAAAGTAGTTGTATTCAGTAAATGCAATAAGTGGAACTTGCTATTTGGCACTTGAGCGGCACTGGATGTTTTAGCTATCTGGGATGAAAGTTCTTCCTGTAAACGCTTGGGCTAACCCAAGTAACAGGTTGGAAAATGAAAGGTAAACATCACACGACACATCTGACAATGCTATTTGAACAGCTTTTCATTTCACTCGTATTGATGGCAATCCAGGCATGCGCTTAGGATAATAATCAAAGGCCAAGCCATAGAAAATGCCGAAAACTCACAGTCTAGAATATAGTTGTATTGTTCTCAAACAATTTGGCAACAAATTGGCGTATACTTTCGCATACTCGTACATTAGTAGCAAATGCCAAACCAAATTGGCCACAAATTTGCATTAGGGTACAAATTTGTTGCAAATTTCCACGCTGATTGCTCACATACAAAAACGCAACCTTGTTCTCATGCTCTTCCCTCTTGTGGAGGAAAGACCCTGGTCAGAGCTGGTCACGTGGCTCCCAGGAGCTCTTCTGATATAGACGGGTAGAAATCTACTATATCAAAGCTGATAAACGAGTTTGATAACAAGGAAGTTTACTTCTCCATATTTCTTGAGCATCAAGTTTCAGCGAAGTCAGTGCCAAAGTTGGAATTTGGAAATTTCACAATGCTTTTAATTAAAGTTTTAAGAACATTCCGAGTAGCATTGTATAGAAGCAAGATAGTTTGCGATATTTCAGAAATCGAAGGATCTTTCTATTCCGTTACACATCTCATGCAGTATTAAATAAATCTTTAGGATAGACATCAATAGTTATATAACAGCCACATTGGTCGGTACCTGTGTAGAAATATATTTCTTTGTAACGTTTGTGCGACGTACGACGTGTGATTTCTTCGACGAGCCGTATCGGCATAATTTGTGTATTGAAATCTGATCTATCTTTATTGATCTATATTGTATTTTATGAATAATGAAGCATTCATCCAATAGTCACTTCATAGTCACAATTTGGGCCGCTTGGATCGCGATGTGTCCATAGCCATAGGTGGCCTATCCCTCTCTCCTATATGGTCTACGAAAAGACAATATAAATTTTGTTATAACTTCAGTATATGGACACGGTCATGCATGTACGGGTCAAGAAGGCTAATAAATTTAAGCTAAGAGACGGACCATTAGAAAAGTGATGGGGGGGATTTTCTAAGAGGCAATATTTTTTTTTTGTACACCTATAGAAGAAATTTTTTTTTCTCACTTGATGGTTGGAAATATTTTTTTTTAAAGGGGAAGATTTGACAGAATTCTGATGGTCAGAAAACAGCGTTTTAGTATGTCGAAATTTACAATTTAGTGGTACTAAATGATATAAAGATTACAAAAATGGCGATATAAAGATTACAAAAATCATTATTGTGTTAAAATGATGAGTGAAAATGAGATGCAATTCTAAAAAACATTCTCGTTTACTGATTTTTTTTGTGTGTTTTTGACGTTGTTAAGATTATGCAATGTGCCAAAATAAAGCGGGCTCAGCCATTGAACTATAAATAAACTGGAAGGCTAACTCAGGGGGGGGGGAATTGAAGCCAGTGCATTTTAGTTTTTCTGCGTTATGAGCAGAAATACTCAACACTGAACGTGGGCTATATATCAAATTGAAGCTATTGAAAAACGCTATTTGGTGTAGAAATTTCAAGACTTTAGCTAAAAGGGAAATATTGAAAAACTACAAACATAATTACCGATAATTTGCCGTTTTGCAGTTGTTTTTGTATTTCTTAAATATTTTTCTTTTCGCCGAAGTCTTGATATTTCCACACCGAATAGCAATTTTCAATAGCTTCAATTTGATATATAGCCTGACATTTGGGGTCAAGTATTTCTGCTCATAACTCAGAAAAACTATTTTGGCTTCATCAAATCATAGGCCTTCATCATAGCAGTTAGCCAGTTTATTTATAGTTCAATGGGCTCAGCACGCTGGTCATATTCAGCAAATTTTCTCCCAGGACCGCAGGCTCATATTGTCAGTGGACTTGCGGTGTAAAATTGAAACTTTTGCATTTTTCAGAGAACTGGCCACTTTCTGTAAGATGTCCGCTGTCAATACGAACCCGCACGAGTGGGAGAAATTTTGCTAAATTTGACCAACGTGCAGTCCCCCCAAGTCAACATGAAATTTCAACAAGGGGGCTCAGCCCCCCTGAGCTGAGCCCCCCTGAGCCCTCGCTCCAGTACACCACTTGGCCTATCTTCTAAGCAAGGAATTTTTTTTTTGGCACTATGCCTGGAAAGATTTTTTTTTTCTTAATTTTTTTCTGGGAATAATTTTTTTTTTTGGTTTTGGCCCCCCCCCCCCAACACTTTTCTAATGGTCCGTCCCTAAAATGTACGGTAAGTCAAAGTTTAACTGCAGCAGCATATTCATTTGCGGGATTAATGTCAGCGAAACGAGTATAATCTTGCACTCACCACTAGAATAGCTCCAGAATAACTAATGATCTCTCCTAACTTAACTAGCGCTTGACCTCGCGTCGTAATGCGGAGCGGTGGGTACATTAGTAGAGGCTATAGCTGTTGCAAACTGAAAATCAACTTAGACGTAAAAGCAGGTTTTAATCTATTGATTTATGATGCTATATATTCCAGAAAAAATACTTTATATCATACGAACAGTAAACTGTCTATAATTTGACACAGTCAATTACTTAAGAAATTTTTTCATAACAAACTTTAATTTTTATAACATTTAAATTAAGCCAGGGCCACACGACGCAATTTTTTAGTCTGTCGAAAAACAAAATACAAAACGATTTGATATTCAGTGATAAAAATTAGTGGGCAAAAATAAGTATTTTGATGAAGACAGCGATGGAAATCGCAACATGTGTGCCTGGCTTTATTTCATATATTTTGTGTAAATGTTCAGTAACATTATTGGGAACAAATAACATCCAAATCAAACTATTGTAATTATATATTTACTCTAATGTGAGCAACAAACAGAGAAGGAAAGTGCATATTTGTTATAAGAGCTAAACCTACGCATATGGCAATTTTGTTAGTCTGCATATATGATGTTAAAGTGATGCTAAGATGCAAATTAATTACATAAAGCGTATATCAGTTTGATGTGTATCATGGGCATAATCTGCACTTTCTGCGTGTCTTTATTGTATAAAGAGAGAGGTTGGAAATGTGTAACAGTACGATCAACAACCATGCTCTAATGTTTGTGGAACGCGTACTTATATTTCTCTAGTTCACAATACGAGCAAATGTGTTGTTCACCTTTCGTCACAAACTTATTGTATTCTTGGTACAGGAATGGCAAGACCAAAACTACGTACTAGCTATACAGAACAGCAAACATTGACAAGGGGGTTGGTGTCTGTTATGAGATAGAATGGGTATAAAATCAGGCAATTTGCATGCTCCACAACAATAGGGAATGATTGTTGGTTCTCTTTCCGACAATTATAAACTGCTGCAATGATATACATACATGTAAATTTAAGCGAAATTGGATAAAACGATGTTTATAGATAAAATAAACTGCGTTTCGGTCAATGCGTCAATAATTAACCGGTTTTTCTACTAGAGACGCAATATCCGTCTGGATCTCTTCCATATAACGCAATATCCACCTGGATCTCTCTCTTGGGGCACAAATCTAACCAAAGCAGAAAAGCATGCCAATCATGGTTAAAAAATAACCAAGTCACAGATGAATTTGCCTTGCCAATGGCATAACAAATAAGACAGTTTCGTCATTAACTTTATCATACCCGGCGATAAAGTTCCGTGTTATACGCTGAACAGGTATAAACGACGCGGGGCCAAAACACTCAAACATGTTTGCGCACCAAATCTCTGGCGCTACCATATTTCCAGCATTACCATAATGGAACCGCTCTGGATGCTGAAACCAGCGAACGTACGCAAAACAAAACGAATACACCTTATCATTATACGAAATCGAGTGCCGTATAAAGCAATCGACGATACCCAGCCTTTCATCCATACTTTCAATATCAACATCTCCATGGAATCTTCCTGCCCACTTTGCTAGGATGTAAGCAAAGCGATTGAGACGGGAAAATGTAGACCCGTATCGTTCCCCTGCAAATGCAATCGATGCGTACTTGTCACAAAGAAGAGGTATATCGTTGGTTGTTAAGCCAGGAAGGAAGATCGTGTAAACCCTGCTCAAGTACTCATGTTCGTCAGTATCCAAATGTTTAATAACGTGCGGTGAACCAAAAGAATAACCGTCCAGAGAAAACCACAATTCATTACCAACATGAATTCTATCGTTACACATTCGAAGAATGTCGATTGCCAGTTTGCTATCAATTACGTCATTCATCGATCGACGGCCTTCGCGCTGATGAATTTTATCTGTTAAGTCTCTAAAATGCTGCGCGCATTCTTCTGGGAATTCAAATTCCCTTAAGTTTTGGTCTCTCAAAAACTTTCTCATTATTTGCAATTCAATCGATCTGTTATTGGTCGAGTAGTTCCCTAATATGCCATTACAACCAAAAATTATAAATAGGCCCATAGTCAAGAATACAGTCTGCCAAATGAGTGTGCATGTGCATGTTCGGGGGAATGCGTTGGGTCCCATACATTTTTTCGATATCACGGCAAAACGTTACTAGCAGAGAATGTGCAAGTCCCACGTCAGATATTTTAATCATTGGCTGTGACAAAAGTTTACAGGCTTTAACGAAATTTAACCAGCACTTGTAATGATTATCTGGTATAAAACCTAACAATGCAAAAGGAGAAAAAACAGTAACCCATGTTTTCCACTGTTCTGCCGTAAATCCAGAAAAAGATTTCGCTATTTTGAAAGGAATTCAACCCATATTTGAAGGTGTATTAGTTGCGTCTACTTTTTCTTGAACACGTTCCAAACCTGCACAAGTCAAAACAGAAAGTTCAAGCCATAATTCCATCATGTGTTTAGCCGTTCCCAGGAACAAATTATGCATAGGATCAACAATCGTAAACCTACTGCAGTCAAAGTACGGTAGTCTAAGAAGTTCAGAATATCTAACGCCATATAAAGATTCTTTCACGTTACGTAATTCCTGCGTTGACTGCGCTAAAATCTCTTCGACATGTCTTCTAT